ATTTAAGGTCGCGAAGCTGGAATTAAGCTTGTAGAACTACATGTAGAAAGTGTGGTTTGATGTGACTTTTTAATAATAGGAACGAATATGATAATTTGGACAACGACGAATGCAGAAATTGCCAAGTATTTTCAAAAGGACTCGGACTTGCTCTATGAAAACATTTTAAAAGTTGTATGATATCATCGTGTTGATTGAAGTATCTGATGAAATAAAAGGTTCTTTGGGTTGAAGGGCATTAACTCTCTGATTTGCAAGAACTGCATGTTGACCCAAGAGGGAATTCTCAATGAAAACTGAAAATGTTTAGACGTGGCTGCGCTGCTGCCAAAGTGCAGGATGATTCCCTAGCTTGTGGCTTAGGTTTTACATCAGCTAGTCTTAGGGTTCTCCAAGCACTTTTTCTATTATATGACAGTGTACATGTACATGTACATTGCAAAGAAAATCTGAAAGTGTCATGAAATAACAGTCAGTGACACATTGTTTTTTAGCTGACTGGTAATGCTGAACATCTGATCAGCTCAGCTCCGACCAAGTTGAGAGGTCTTTGGTGATTAATCAGAAAGCTAAACCCGAGTTGTCAGATGGTCGAGGCCACATGCTGTCTGTGCACTTGAGGCAAGTGTCATGTTCACCTGCTGATGATGTTGATGTACTTTCTACATCCTGTCCCTTGGCGTGTACTTGCAAACTTGGGATTATTGCAAAGTGGTTTGGTTTGATTTTCTAGAAAAGTCAATTTTATCGTGTATGGAACCTTTTTTTTTCAGTCAAGTTGTTAGGACTCTGCACTAGTCTGCAGGAGGTCTTGGGTTCAAGTCCCAACCCAGCGTGTCCAGTGCTGAAAACTGTCATCGAATGGCAACACCAAATATTAGAAAGTCATGTTTGTTTTATGTAGTTGAATTTATGCTACTGTTCAGGTACATGTGAAGAGGTTATTTCCAAAGCACAACATATCCATGTACATGTAACAAGACATGAGTTCTGCTGATGCAGCCAGCAGTTTTTGTTAACGGAAATTTTCCCCTGCTAACTTGCTCAATTATGGAGAATACCTTTTAAAAGGAAGATACAACATTTGCAAACATCAAAAAACAAAATGATCACATTATCACAAAATACCTTACTGAATTGTTAGGGACTGACAGTCTAAAGTATCCTGTAAAATCATGGCTCCTGGTGTGCTGACATATTCAAGAAAAATTGTATTTTTCCAACGCTGGTCGGCCGACCAGCGTTGGAGAAAACTGGCTTTTTTTCAAAAAACTGCTTGCAAACTCTTTGCTTTAAAAACTGCAAGAAATCTTTGCAATTGATTACACACATACCTGTGAAGGGGTACAAATGTACAAGCCTGCTAGACTGATTCTCTGACCTTACAGTTCCCCAAAGTCTATAAATTATCCGTTTCATCTTAAGTGGGGTCAGGAAACCAGACTACAAGAACATGAATGGTTTTCTTGGTTTTCCAGCATCTACAAGCCCGAAGTCAATTTAACAATACAAGTCAATTTAACAATATTTGCTATTACATACTGATCCTCCAAATCCATTTATTTCTGAAAATCGAAGCAAAAGCAAATGTTGAACATTCCCTTTAACACAGGCTTGGACTTTAAAAAAAAAATTTAAAAAAAAATCAAGACTTTGCAAACTGCATGAGAATGGGACTGGAACAAATCCAAAATCAACAGAAAAAGTATCAGAGCAAAACGACAGATTATTTTAATTTCCTGATTTGTGCAAATAAACATTCCTGGTGCAAAAGAAGTCCTTTTCATTGTTTTGTACGAACGTCAGTTTGGCAACAGCTGGAAATATAAAAAAAAAAAAAAAGGAAATGAAAGACCGAACTATTTATAAAAAAAATAATCAATGGCCCGGCAATACCAAAAAAATAAATATTTGGATATGAGGGGATTGGCATTTGTAAGGACGCTTGTAACAATGGCTGGTCATGACCAAGAGCCAACACCATCTGTTTTTCCGGTTCGTGTCGTGACTGGTGCAAAATTACAAGTGCCTGTTTCGCCTGATCAATGATGGGAATTTTTAAGGCGACACATCGAACAGATGAACCAGTGGCCTAGTTGTGTGAATTATGTTGTATTTGATAATGTGACTTCCTCTGTCAACGGTTCTGTCGGTTGAATTATCTATGCTAACACATTTAATATGTAAGAGTAGAAACAATTTTGTGGGGTTCAAAGTATTGGCTTAACCCATCAGCACTTGTTTTAAATTGTTGAACACTGCACTGGTTTTTTAAAAAAACCTGTAGTAGCCATCCATAAATATTAACAATACTAGCAGTCACTTTTTTGCAAAACTATAGAGTCTGAAGGTGTGGTAAATACTCTACACAATGGTCTTTATCCCATCTCATTTGGACACCCCAGTCCAGAGATACAGCTTATGAGCTAAACTGCTACTGTGCTAATAAAATGGAATGACTTGAATTCCAAGTTGGGCCACTTGGTATCTTATGACAAGCATTCACATACCAAGAAGGTGAAGAAAGTGGCCCAAACAGATTTTGACAGTCTTTACAAGCTTTGCTGTAAGTTTTAATCAGAAGGTCAAAATCACACGGAACACAAATCCTGTTAAGGGTAAAGAAACACTATCGTCTCATATGGTAAGTTTTTTTACAAAAAGTGATTTAGTTTCCTCAGGAAACAGGTTGCTTGCCTGCTTTTTTTGGGGGGGGGGGGCACCCTGGATTTGCTCTTATGAATCCAGGCGGTTCAGGGCAGTACATCCATGGGGCTAACAGGCAGGGCGCTTAGGGATAGCAAGGAAATACATGTAGGCTTTCATAAGTATGTGTGTTATCCATCAAATGTGGTCATGGACAACTATAGAGTTAAATTATCTCATACAAAAAAAGGTTTTAATTTAAACTTCTCAGCTCTGTCAATCTCAAGTTATATAAAGACACCTGAAACCACTTGGGCAAAGGTAAAAACACAATCCACAAAGTACTCCATGCAACTATCAATCAAGATTAAACTGGGTTCACAAAACGCTGAAAGGAGAAATCCAGGGGTGTGGACCACAGACTGACAAACAGCAGTACATAAATTGCCCTAACATAAATCAAACTAATATTTGATTAGTGCAGGGCTATAGATCTAAAAAATATCCATAAAGTATCCTATCAACCTCAGGTCTGCACACGGGACAGATTACGGTACATACGTATGAAATGCAAGAAGAGCAGGCACGGTCGGGGGGAGGGGGGGGGGGAAAAAAATTTTTAAAAAACCTAACTCTGTCCAAAATTTGATATTTTTTCATAGAAATTCATAAAAAATAATGCTACCCCCCCCCCCCTCTGACAACCAAAAAAATTATACTGGTATTAATATACAACATCCCCCCCCCCCCCCACCCATTGATTTTGCAGCGCCAAGTGTCCGGAAAAAAAACGTGTCTACATTTCAGCATTCATTTGCTGATTAAACCACCCCCCCCCAAAAAAAAATCCTGGATTTTGTTCCCTTTTAGAATCCCACTCTCTCCTGGCTGCCCAAAGTCAGTCTTGATGACTGTTACTAAACATGTACTTAAACACAACTTAAGAATACAATAAGGTGAAAATGAACTTTAGAAAGAGCTGTTATACTGTTTTTATTCTTGAAAGTTTCATAACTGTGCAAACTTTTCACCTTTATCAAATGGATATGTCGCGTTTTTGGAAACTACATGCACCGGTACATAAAACAAACATGGTTTTGCCACTCGACGACAGTTTTCAGCACTGGACACGCTACGGTGGGACTTGAACCCAAGACTTCCTGCAAATTAGCGCAGAGTCCTAACAACTTGACTAAAAAAAGGTTCCATCTTACACGATAAACTTGACTTTTTTTCTAGAAAATCCAACCAATCCGCTTTGCAATAGATAGTTCCAAGTCTTCCAGTACATGCCATGGGACAGGACGTAGAAAGTACATCAACATCAGCAGGTGAACATATCACTTGCCATAAGTGCACAGACAGCACGTGGCCTTGACCATCACAATCGCATGTGACAACTCCTGTTTAGCTTTCTGATTGATGAACAAAGACCCTGTCAACTTGGGCGGAGCTGAGCTGATCAGATGAAGCATTACCAGTCAGCCAAAAAACAATGTATCACCGACTGTTATTTCATGACACTTGCAGATTTATTTGCGATGCACACTGTCATAAGAGCTGCATGCAGAACCTTAGCAACAAGCTAGGGAATCATTCTGCACTTTGACAGCATCACAGCCACGTCTAAACATTTTCAGTTGACTGCAACATGGCCGGAATAAGCATCCATGAAAGATGCTTCCAAGTAGAGGGCAGAAACAGAGCAGCACACTAAACATATAAAAAGTTAACCAAAAAGTCATTTTCTGGACTACGCTACTTCAAAAGGAGAAATGACCATTGTTGCAAAAAAAATTAAAAACAAAAGAGAACCGAATGAAGAAAGATTTAAACATTAAAGGAAAGCAAAACTACCCTCACCCCAAATCCATTACATTCCTACATGACAATTAAAAACACAGACAAAATAAAAAAAATCGGCACTTATTGAATTGGCCATAACTCAATAAATATTTACCCGATTGGAAAGATTTTTTTCCTCATTGAAAAGCTAACAAGCTATACTCTACAAATATGTATCGATATTTGTGATATATTTTTTAAAAGCTGTGTAAAAGTGGGCGATTTGAGGGGTTTTTTTGGGGGGGGGGGGGGAATCCTACATGTATATGCCTCGAGGGGCCTCCACTACAACAAAGCATCATATGCACAACATGATGCACTTGATACTTTAGCCAGTCTGAAAAGTTTATCATCCTTTTCATTGTTGTGCATAAAACACAACAAAATTAAAACAGAATTATTCACAGTGTTCTGTGGCTGAAAAGGAAAACAGACATATTTGCAATGGAAAACCACCAGCTCTAAACAGCACCCTATGCCAGCTGTGCGCAAACTCAACAGAAAAACGTTTAAACTGTATTTAAATGCGGCTGTCTCTGTGATGAGCAATTGGACACGATCGTATTACATGTAAGACTTACCTTGGGGTACTTGTGGCAGAGGAACATGAGGACCTGGAACAGGCACTTCCGCCTTGTCACTCCGGGAAACATGATCATGCCGCAGAATCTGTGCACGGAAAAGATATAGGAAGACTTGTAAGGGATTCTGGTCCGTGTCATACAGGGGGAAAAACAGGATTTTGATCAAAGATAGAATCGACCACAGGAAATTAAATGTTTGAGCTGTGTTTCCTCCAGAAGGACAGACTTGCTTCTTAACCACTTCGCGCCGGGATTATCTTTGCTATTAAAAAAATTCGATTTTTGCCAAAGGCAAAACTTCTGATATGCAGCCAAACGCCACAAATACTGATTCGCAAGAGTCATTTCAACAGTATTTGTACAAATGTACGATGTTTCTTGCCGAAACCTCATATGTTTCAATACTGCGGGGTGTGCACTGGATCCCTGTAAAACAATAGGCTGTGCACAACAGTTCAACACACGGTCCGCCTCCACAGACTTCACGGACTTTGTGTGTGTGTATAAAGGCACGAGGGATTAGCGTGTTTAGACTAGGTGAGTCGAGGCAATCTTGACGTTTTAACCCATCATCCGTGCTTGTGTACAAAAACAGCCAGTGAATGTTATCATGTCCTCCGACGCGAACTGGTTCAAATATTTGGGATGACGTCTTAAAATAAAGAATATGTCCCAATGAGGAAGCACAAAATAATATTGCTTTGGAGAACTTTTTGTTGTAACAAGCAAAACAAAAATATCACTGCACTTTTTCATCTGCATGATGCAAGTTGGCTCTGATATGTTTGCAGGAAATTGGATGCTTAGAAGGAAAGTAATATGGCGTCAATATCTGTAATTAAAAAATATAGCAGAAAGTCCTGTAATTGGAGGAGTTACATGCTGCGATAGGCAGATCCCCTTGTCCCAATTTCATAGATTGCTATCTGGAAAACTGATTGTTATATCGTGTGCTTGAATGTATTTCGTTGGTCTAGAATGACTGCGTGTCCTGTCAGTAAAACAACCGTATACTTCTCGTATACACTGCGTTTAGTATACAGGGTGAGTAAAAAAAAAAAGAAACCCAAATGTCGGGACCATTGTTTTAGTGAAGTTCTTCATGTAGCACTTTGAAAATCTAGGATATGAAAGCCCAATTCAAAAGCTTTCTTTTAGTACAAGAATCATTCAAATCACTCCTGTACTTTTCAAGTTACGGAATTTTAAACACAACTACCGTTTTAAGGGGGGGTTTCACAAAAAAAGGTGATCACATGGGATGTATTTGAATTGTTTTCATTTTGCTGAAAGAACACTGAACTTTTTTGTGATCCATGGACAGAACCTTTAAAGGGTGGATGTGTTTAAAATTCCATAACTTGAAAAGTACATGAGTGATTTGAATGATTCTTGTACTACAACAAAGTTTATGAATTGGGCTTTTATATCCTATATTTTGAAAGTGCTACATGCAGAACTTCACACAAAAAATAGTTTTGACATTTGGTGTTTTTTTTTTTTTTTTTTTTTTCTCATGCACCCTGTATATGAAATAAACCTCATACACACTGCGCTGCATATAAATTGCGCGCATTGCTGGCGAATGTTTACAACTGTTTATCTTTTTTACTTTATTGGCACGATGTTACAAAACAATTGTTGACTGCTGTAAGGTGGGATATGTCGTTTGTAACCCCCTGAGGGACTCATAGCTATGCACCCCTCAGGGAATTAAAACAGCAGTCAACAATTGTTAAATATTACATGACAATTTTGGCAAACCAAAAGCTGAGAACTAGTCAAAAGCTATAAACCTTGTGCAACAGAGTAACATATAATTTTACTGCACACTAAAATGTCTGTGCTTTGCAGGGATGTGGATTATGTCGTTTTTTTACCCCCTGAGGGGCTCATAGCTATGCACCCCCCAGGGAATTAAAACAGCAGTCAACAATTGTTAAATATTACATGACAAATTTTGCAAACCAATGGCTGGGAACTAGTCCAAAGCTATAAACCTAATTGTGCGACAGGATAACATATAATTTTACTGCACACTAAAATGTCTGTGCTTTGCAGCTTCGTAACATTCTGCTCTCTAAATGTGTATCTGTTATGAAATGCTTGTCTTGCTTGACAGTATAAGTCACTGGAGGAACAAGTTAAAGCTACAGTCCATCATTTGCAGCAATCCAAAAAAGTGACTGACGTAATTATTGTTGAAAAGCATACTTGGTTTTAAGAAAGCAATGGGACTAAACTCCCTGTGAAATTATTCTTTCGGGCAAGCTGTCATTTTGAAGAAAACAATGAACGAAGGCCTTTCCAACTATGTGTCTAAAGACGCATCGTTGGAAATTTCTGTTAGTAGTTTTGTTTTTTTATTCGGCGAAGCAGGCACAAGCGTTGACACGATGCACATGAGCGCACGGTTGCTACAATTTGTCGGTTCAGTGCGCGACATCACGTAGCTACAATCGGCTTAGTGAGAACTTAATTGTCTTGGAGGTAGAATATACAGCATTCACTGAGCTAAAACTTCATCAGGTCAGTTGTTCATCATCCTTCTTTAGATTTTCAGCACTTTTGTTGCTTCAAACGAACATAATGCACAAATTACAAATGATGGACACTACATTTAAAACCTACTGACTGCATGACAAGCAAAACAAAAACACACATCAAACATAGTGCACATGTTCAGTTCTTGAAAGCTGGAATCTTATTTTATGTAAAGTACACTGCACTTTTTCTCTTCACAATGATGTCTCTGTTCTTTCAAGTTCAATGGCATAGTGGATAAATTAAGAAAACACACAGCTCCAAGGCACAGAGTCCCAGAGCTGGGGCAAAGCCGGTATGGGGTAAACACGGTTATAGAGCACCTGTAGACGATTCGCCATGGCGATAACAACAGGAGATTAGCGGTGATTGGGTCATGGGAACCGGCAATCACATTCATGGATACCGGGGAAAGGGGCGGTCATGTCAGACAGAAACATGTGTGGTTATGAAGGATGGCCGAGCATTCCTGCGAGGGGCTAGCAGTGATATATACCGGTATATGTCTTGCCTATCTAAGGTTCATGCACTTTTGCAGACTGCATTTCTAATAAAGACAAATTTATAAGGTGACCCGAGCGATTGATTCAGACAACGTAAAATTAGCCAGAGACTTGACCAGATCTTTAGGTTCTTGCTTCAAACGAAGAGCTAAAAGCATGGTTGTTTCAAAGTGACATTTGCTGTCATACTATCAAATCAGTTTAACTTCGAAATTCGCATGACGTAAGATGAACTGGGATTAACACAAAATGTTTCACAACTCAAAATCTGGAGCCTACTGTGAATACACACAGCTACATGTAACTGCCAACACTGTGCAAAAATAGCATCCTTTTTCATAATGTGGAATTTTGCATCGGGGTGATGTAAATCAAATTAGGTTTTGCCCTTCACCGACGTATAAACACTGTATACTCAAGTGTGTTACCTCCTGAGTGAAAGTTGGGAAAAACCACTCGGGTGGGACTCGAACCCACGACCTCCTGCTTTCTAGTGCAGACATCTTACCACTCGACCACCGAGCTAACTTCACTAAAACAATAGTCCCAACATTTGGGTTTCGGGGTTTTTTTTACTCACCCTGTATAACAGATACAAACAAGTGTACATTCTAGGGTTAAAATATCGCTTAGAATCTTAGGCAGCTTTCCTTCAACCAGACCAGTCATCAGTATCCAGATGGAAAGCCAATCTTCCAGATTTTTTTTTGCATTTCATCAAAGATTTATACTCTTCCTATTGTTCAATGAACTTGACAAAGACATCTGTAATAACAAGACAGGGCCCAACCCGTCTAACAGAATCAATTGAAACCGAGAGTCTAGTTTGTTTTTATTTCTTTTCCAAAAAGTGTGTCACCGAGAAATTGGACCAGAGCAGCACCCCCTAGTGGGTTAATGATGTCCTCATCAGACTCACAGGGGAGGTAAGTAAAATATCCCCCACCACCACTGGGGTAGTCTCCAGACGTCACTACCTGGGACATGAAGGAATTCACGGTCGGATTTTGTTTGAGCTGTTGTGAAGGCTTGGACAAATAGAAAAAAAATCTGTGAGGCAGCGTGTTTGGTCAGGCGGTATGTGCTCTATCACTTTCACAAAAGAAGTTGTGAGACTTTTCCAGATAATTACATGTATGTTCGTGATTAAAGGGTTACTTCCATGACTTTTCCATAACTTTTTTAGGACAAAATGAGGGCTTTCCGTGACCAATTCCTTCGCTGTTTTGGCTTCTTAGGAGCATTTTACAATACACTGACCAGTCATGAGTCATCGCTCTGAAAATAAAGGTCTATGCAGTGTGCATTACCATAACAAGATGGCCTCCACCTCCCCTCACAGCCATTCGATCCGCCCACTTTTTCATGTTAAAGGTTAAATGTCACCAAAGACTTTTAAGGCATCCTGTGACTGTCTTCCTCGCTCTAAAAACGGGACCACTAAAATTATAGAAACTGCATACAGTACATGTATGCACTAAATGTCATTATAACACCTCACCCACAGATTCTGTGTCTTGATTGGCCGAGAGCGAGTCACATGTTACTTTCTAATTTTGCTATCTTTCTGTGCACGGCCAAAAGTACTATACCCGTAGCAACCAAAGTACTATACCATTAGCAACCAAAGTACTATTTCCACGGCGCGGTATTTGTGTGCAAATGGATGCTTGTGTGCGCGTTGCGCGTAGCGTGTATTGTTCCAAAGAGAGCGCGCCGCAGACTTGGGTTCAAACATTTCGTGAAGGGGTAGTTTGGAAGAGAGAAATACATTTTCCACCAATTTTGTATTGAAATTGAAGTTTATTTCAACTGTGTTCAGATTTAAATAATTTAAAATATTAAAATCAAGCAGAATCTGTGGGTGAAGTGTAATAAAACAAATATTGAATGCTTTATCTCGTGGTGAAGTAAAACTAGCCTCCCTCGATGATCCATGGACCATTCTATTTTCCCTCGGCTTCGCCTCGGGAAAATAGAATGTCCATGGATCACCTCGGGAGGCTAGTTTTACTACACCACTCGAAGCATTCAATAT